GGCCTCAGTGTGAGAGGATGCACCTAGCTCTGCATAGACTTGATGTGCCAGGGTTGGGGGATATCCGGGGTACTCCTACCCACTCAGAGGAGAAGGGGAGGAGGGATGGGAGTGTGGGGGCAAGGATTGTGGGGGAGTGCCTCGGAGGGGGTAATGAACAGGATGTAAACTGAATAAATAAAAAATAAAATGATTGTGTTTGAGTCCCTTTGGAGTCTAGAATCTTCTAATGATGAGTGCTTGACAGCACTGAATGGAATGAACGAATAAATGAAAATAATTCTGTATAGTGTTCCCAAATTTCATTTCGAAGCATCTGTCTCCTGTATCCATCAAGAATCACCCTTATAGTGTGACTCTAATGGTACTTTAGTAAGAACCCTTGCCTATTGGTTTTAGTTAGACAGATTTTAATCAAGTCCCGGTGGATTTCTCTTCATCCTTACTGGATTAATGAATAACATCTCTGTCCACAATCTCTGTTTTGGATCTCCCCAAGTCTCCTTGAAAATGTCTGTACCAATTTGATGGATGTATTTTTGAGGAGAAAATTTGAACATGAGTGAGAGTGTATTTTGGAGAATTTTTTCTTAGTAACAAGGAAACCATTCATGGATTCTTTACCGGGATTATGGGATCACTGGAAGATCAGAGAACCCAGGAGAAGAGTTTAAGTGGGTTTACTAGCCACACACACCTGAATTCCCTTCTGGATTTTAAGATAAAACTAAGTTCAGTAAAAATCTATTCAATCCAAGGTTATTTCAGGGTTATTGTGTCTGGAGCAGAACTTAGCCCTAGGGATAAACAGCTATAATAGTTTTCCCTGGTGGGAGTTCCTTAGGGTTAGCTAAGGGATCCCAAGAGCTCTGAGATCCCACAGGTAGACAACTACACATACAGCTCCCTCCGTTCTCTTTCCTACCTTGGCTAGCAATGGAAACCTAGGTTTTCAGGAAAATATTTGAGGATGGTAAAGTCAAAATCAGTACAATGGTGGTTGTTTGGCTCAGCTACAATCAGAATCAGGGTTACTGAAGTCCAGAGGTAGACTTTCCCATCTGGATGTTATTGATGCTTCATATCCTTCAGTTCTCTTTCCTTCAAGGACACTCAAGCCCCACGGCCAATGTGATCATCTCTTGTCTTTGATGGTGGAGAAACAGTCCACAGAGGCAAATCCCATTTGTTAGCTCTTGATTTATCTATATCTTCTGGAAAACAATGTCATATTCTGCCTGTCCCACCTCACACATCCAGAAATGCCACTGTGTGAAATAATGCACCATTCTCTGGCTTTACCTTTTCCTATTTTAAGAGATAGTTCCCTTAAGTGAATTGTCTACTTAAGCCAGAAATATTCAAATAAATATATGTGGCTTAGAATTCACAGATATAGAAGGTGACATTCTGTCAGAGTTTGTTTCTAGCTGAAAAACATAACTATGTAAATTAAAAAATGCAAAGCATTTTCTATGTTCTAGGCTGTGCCGTAATAGACTAAATGTTTAAAAATGCGCAGAGAGAATGTCAGCCACAGGATCATGTTCTGCTAGAGCAGTAATTCACTCTCTTCAGACACTCTGCTCATGGAAGTTAGTGTGGTGTAATACTAGTATTCTAGGATACTATCATACAGTATTATATGACACTACAGATGTTTTTGTTTATAATACAACTTCCTAGGGTTTAACTTTGAACACTTGAGGGTTTACCGCTAGTTTGTGTTGGTGTTGATGAATTCATTTGAAACTCCAGCTGATTCAACTGGAAATAGGTACCTGAGTCCTAGTCATGGGTTCACTGAAGACATATGATTTGCCTGTTATTCAGTAACTCAGGGCTAATGGGAACATCCACAGAAGTATGTAGGACGGGTGTGGTGGGCCAGGGATATAAGAAGCAGTTGGAAGAAGACTCCTATGGCTACCTAGGAGACTGAACACAGTGGTAGACAGGGTGGAAGAATGGGGAACCCCAGAATTAATGATGCAGAACTGCTTCTCAGGCCAGATGGAATAAAACATCCAGGAGAGGGAGGGCAGGGAAATGTTCACTGCCTATATCAGCAGTTATAGGCTTCCTGATTGTTGTTTTTAGAAGGTAAAGTCATCTGTCAAATTGGATGCCAAGTACCCAGAATACTGTAATCAGTTAATAATCATTTGTTGTGTGACCTAAAGAATAAATCAGATTGACAAGAGCACCCTCCCTACAAGAATTGCAAAGACCTCAGCTTCAGCCATAGGCAGCTATGGTATAGTTTCCTCCAGTGCCTTCATTTGGATGAGCAAATGATATGCAGAAGTATCTATCAATAACGGAGAGTTAAGTATAAATAGGCAAATAAAGCAGTTGTTCTGAGCCATCTGCCAAGGTGTGAGAATAACCTTTAGAAATGGAATGCCTGATATCCAAGAAATGGAATTTTATTGCTAATTGTTTTTAAAAGTAAAACCCTTCAAAGCCTTGTAATTTAGGTGAAGAGTTATTAGTTTTTAGAATTGTGTCTCCTGATCATTTGTAGAGGGTGTGTAGTCATGAGGAGAATGAATTGCATAGGAAGTAAATGATCTCCAAGTAGGCACATTTGCTGGTTGCCATGACAACTGCTGAGTCTTATTGACTGAATAGCAAAAGAAAAAA